TAAATGATAAGCCTGACTTGCACTAATGATCCGGGAGTCCCAAACTATTGGAAAAGGGAGAACCTGTACCCAATCTCTATAAGGGATATCCACATACAAAAAAAAAAGATTAAAAAGTTACTTCAATCGGAAACTAATTTGTTCACGACCACTTAATAATAAATCAATATTCTACGTCCTAACTAAAAGCATATGGTACCCTAGAGTGAATTATGATAATTCACTCTTTTCTAATTCTGGCAATTTCCGGTAGATAACTAAAGATGGGCGATACTTTTCATAACGATATTTTCTAGATCGAAAAATCAGAAATTCGAAAAATTGGAAAATCGGAAAATTGAAAAGTCAAACAATCGAAAAACCGAAAAATTGAAAAATCGAAAAATTGAAAAATCGGAAAATCGAAAAATCAAAAAATCAGATATTCGAAAAATTGGAAAATCGGAAAATTGAAAAGTTGAAAAACAACAGTTAGTTACCTATGTTTAATAAAAACTTTCCATTCTACACTTAGCTTTTATTTAATAAAGAAACCATAATGGTATAATGGTACAAAGTATAGTATTAGACTCGCCTACGGCTCGGGACGCAAACGTCACTCTGCGTAAATAATGGCTATCATAAATTGCTCGTTTAATAATATACTATTTTGGGCCAGTGCATCTAAAAATATACACAATCAAACACTGAAAAGAAAATTCGAGAGACGCTAAAATGGTGGATCCCACCTTATCGAGGCTAAGGCCCACAAGGGTAAACTCGTAGCGTAACAAAAACGAGAAATGATTTAACTTGGAACGAAAGACCGAAAGCCTTTAGTAGTATTAGGACGTTGAATTTTTTGTTTTGTGAAACATTGGCATTACTTAGGTTTATCCATGTGATGATTTTCACAAGCCTTGATTTTTAAAACCATTCTATATCTTTTGATTAGGGTTTAAAAACTTGTTCGAGCAATTTTTCCAATAATAATTGGCCCTTTTACGTCTTAAGCCTGCTTATGTAAAATATTTGGGCTCCTTATTTTGCCTATTTATATTCTAATAAAGGACATAAAGGACAGAAGGATGAGTAGTGCAACTATGTTAAAAGAAATAAATTGGCTTTCAGTACAAAATTATGTTCAGCACATGACTAATATTTATTTATAAAATAAAAATGACATAGTACCATCGCATCAGATCTATTAGAAAAAATTCAATATAATTCGCAATATCACAACTATAATACAAGAAGCCAATCTGACTTTCGTGTACGGCAAGCCATCACTAAAAGTTCCAAAAGGTTTAAAAAATTTACTTGACTTCCTACAGAAATTAAAAAAAAAAACAACAATAAATAATGTATTCAAAAGTAACCTCAAGAAGTTTACTAATTATTATTTACAATTCGCTGGTTGAATATGCAAACCAACCTACCTCCCTTTTATATAATAAAAAAGTGCTTTGTATAAGAACATTATAATATCTGTCTTGCTGCACATTTATTTATGAAAAGCCTTAATTGAGATACACTACAAATTATTTGCAATAAATATCAAAAGAAGCATACATTTTTAAATAATTTTACATTTAAGAGCTATTCCCACATAACAGTTGGCATCTTGATACCTGACAGGCACAGCCAAGCATTATTCTGATTTTTGCCAAATAAAATGGCTGGTTAATTATTGGGGTTGCCAATAAATTTGATGAATGTGTTTTTGTGGCTAGGGGCGAAATAGTAGTACGCTTAAGTTAGCACCACCATAAAAAAGTAATTTTTAAGAAACTGCTTATATATTTTTCATAATTGGCAGGCTTGGCGACTAATTTTAAATAAATATAGCCTCCAAAATGGCTATAGTTGCAAATATGAAGGTCGCAACCCGCCTTAGAAATTTCACTTTACTATCAACAGCTGTTGTTTGACAGGTCGTTAGAGAATGTTTGCAATTTATGGAATGTAAAGAATGTTAGGGATGTTGACGTTAGAAATAATTGGAATTCCTAAAATTGTCACATAAGAAATGCATAAGCGGATTTTAAGAAAATTGATATTAAAGTAGTTAGAATGAACCGAAAATTCTGAAAATCAAAAGGGTTCTAAGTTAGAAGGAATTATTCAAGAAGATCAAAACCGCAAGTCAATTAGAACTTTCGTTCTAGAGTTATTGTGCCGGCATACATACAAACAGACGACCAGAAGAAATTTTTTTTTGCATTTTCGGACTCAGAATGATCGGAAACATAAAAAAAAAGTTTTAAAAATGGGGGTAAGAAAATGTATTCGTCTGCACGAAAGCAATACTGAGGCCCCATAGGAAGGGCCTCAGTAATTATTTAAAAATGAAATAAATTATTTTATCAAAACAACTAAAGAAATCACATTGAAATAAAAAAACAATAAAAATCATAGAATTTGAGGGTGTGCTATGGCATTAAACGTGTTAAGTTTTTAGGATGTAATAAGGTGCCCAATTCAAAAATGGATTTATATATTTGCTGGATGTTACAAGAATAGCAATTTTCTTGTAGACATGGTATACTGTGACGTAACAACTGGATGTCACAAGATGCAAGGTTTTTCTGGATGTCACAAAGTGTTGTTAATAAAAATATATACCGTGTATACTTTGGATCTCACAACGATAGGACGTTTTATTTTTTTAAAATGTGTATGGTTGGAATATTTTTCGCTCAGCGATAATATTTTTTAAATTAAAAGAAGTCATATTTTTATTTTTTTCCTAAAGTCTTTGTAAAGGGTGGATGTCACAAAGTCAAAATTTTTGCTGGATGTCACATGATACGCTGGTCGAGTATATATATATATATATATATATATTTATTATATTTGTAGTTAGGTACAACATGTGCTATGTCCAGGTGGTGGGAACTGTCGTATAACCTGTCAAATTTAAACTAATGTGTCATATCGATGGAATTTTTCGTTTTTTACTGGCAATACAAAATAAATTGTTACTAGATGTTTATAACAATAAAAAAATCCCTTAGCAAAAATTTTTTGTCGTCTAGTTTTGCTACTTTCAATATATATGTAAAAATTTCCCTACATCGACAGAAAATGCTTAAGGGATTTTTTATTGTTATACATGTCTAAAAGCAAAAAACTTAAAAATACATCAATAAGAAACATTATTTTAAATTTGACAGGTTAAACGACAGCTCTCACCACCGGGACATAGTACATGTTGTTTACCTAATAAGAAATAGCAAGCAAAAAACAAGACGTCACTTTTTGCAGTCAGATGGAGTAAAAAATGTTTTTTGGACTGAACCCATTCAGCAAACTAAAAATATTTTAAAACATTCCCCACTGCGATTTAGCTGGATTGCGTCAATACTAAATATAATTATCTTTGTAAAAAAAGGTTACTGAAAAAAATGGAAAAGTTGTATTTTTTAAACTCGTCATTTTGTAGAGATATGTTAAATATTGTGTAATTTATATTTTCTTCTTACATGTAAAAAGTATTTTTTGTAGTTTATCTTTATATTACTTTGTAATACGTTGGCGCACTTTGTTAAATACTTAAGAGCAGCCAGGATATCTCGTAAGTTTAGTTTAAAGCCATACGCTCTTAATAGGTTCGCGGTTGTCACGCGCGAAAGAAAATTTAAAGCTTCGCCAATCAATCCTACCTTTAATTTCCCTGGCTTCCTGACGCAGACTTCTCTTCTTGGCGCGTCCACCCTAAGCTGGGGATCATGAACTGTATTTTAGGGCTGGTATTTAAATATTTGAGAAAGCAAATTTGCGGGTTTGTACCGAATGATCACAAAGCTTGAACACACGTTTGTACTCTACGACATTTGAGGCGATACTGATGTTCGCCCGGTTGAATACCACGGTAGCGCTGGTACCAAGGCATGGACTGTAATAAAATAAAATCAGATCCAACAACCAGTTCACTTTGGTTTTTCGATTGGGGAAACGTCAAAGAAACTTCTGGAGATTTAAAGAGGAGCTGAATAAATACAGAACCATATTCGTCTTCAAAAGTTTGATGAACAGATCTCGATGGCATGTTACCAAAGTATTTGGTGTCTTTACATTTTCTTTACTATCATAACCATTCCTCAAAAGAGAATCATAACTTGATAAGAATACTCCTGCTTATACCATTTAATAGATTGTTAAACCTTTACCTTCTAGTTTAAATTAACAACATATTTCCTGACTTTATTTTAAACACGGCCACGGTAGCGCTGGTACTAAGGCATGGACTGTAATAAAATAAAATCAGATCTAACAACCAGTTCACTTTGGTTATTCGATTGGGGAGACATTGAAGAAGCTTCTGGAGACTTGAAGAGGAGCTGAAGGAGTAACAGGACCATATTCGTTTTTAACGTCTCCCCAACCGAATAATTTGATGAACAGATCTCGATGGCAAGTTACCAAAGTATTTGGTGTCTTTACATTTTCTTTACTATCGTAACCATTCCATAAAAGAGAATCAATAACTTGGTAAGAATACTCCTGCTTATACCATTTAATAGATTGTTAAATCTTTACCTTCTAGTGTAAATTTACAACGTACTTCTTGACTTTATTTTAAATACGACCACGGTGACGCTGGTACCAAGGCATGGACTGTAATAAAATAAAATCAGATCTAACAATCAGTTCACTTTGGTTTTTCGATTGGGGAGACATTGAAGAAGCTTCTGGAGACTTGAAGAGGAGCTGAAGAAGTGACAGGACCATATTCGTCTTCAGCGTCTCTCCAACCGAAGAATTTGATGAACAGATCTCAATAGTATGTTACCAAAGTATCTAGTATCTTTAGATTTTCTCTATCATAACCATTGCTCAAAAGAGAATCAATAACTTGGTAAAAATACTCCTGCTTATATCATTTGTTAAATCTTTACGCTCTAGTGTAAATTAACAACGTATTTTCTGGCTTTATTTTAAATACGACCACGGTGGCGCTGGTACCAAGGCATGGACTGTAATAAAATAAAATCAGATCTAACAACCAGTTTATTTTGGTTCTTCGATTGGGGAAACATTTAAGAAACTTCTGAAGACTTGAAGAGGAGCTGAAGGAGTGACAGGACCATATTCGTTTTTAACGTCTCCCCAACCGAAGAATTTGATGAACAGATCTCGATGGCATGTTACCAAAGTATCTGGTGTCCTTCTTTTAGATATTATCAATCAAGTGTACAGAACCTTCCTTGATAATGACAAAGTTTATTTAAAAAAAAATACACAAACTGTTTCAAATAAAATATATTAAATAAAAAATAAACAAACACACATCGCTAAAGTTGTTTCACAACAAAGTTGACAACAACTAAAGACTTATACACTATAAAATAGCAGTCAGTGATAAATCACTTTTGGTTTGGCGTGCCTTGCAGTAAAAAACACTGACTTTGCAATTTTTTAGACATCTCCCTTGAACTTATACTGTTCGGAGTTTCAGCTGAAACTTTTCTCTCAGTCTTTGGGGTTTCGAGTAAAGGATTTATGGATCTCATTGAGTTGTATAGTTCCATCGCTTTTTTGGTTCTCGGACTTTGATAGTCCAAATGTTTAGCGACTAAATTTTTCTTTAGAGTATTTTTAAGCAAATCCCCGCTTCTCGAAAAGGTTGGAGACGTGAAAACAAGTTTGCCGTTATCTTTCAATGGGCTTTTATTGTGCAGTCTGATCGATCTTCTAATACTTTTTATAGGATTGTTTTCTTTATTTTCAGTTTCATCTCCTACTAAATTCATTAAACTTTTCCGTAAACTATTCAATTTCAACATGTTTTCCTTATGTCTTGTTTCTTCATCTTTAATTAACTGCTCAACTTCATTAACTGCAATTCTTAGCTCTGAATTGGTGTTAAAATTTAATTTTGTCCTCTTGACGCTGCTGTTGATACCTGTAACTTGCATTAAATTACTTATGCTAGTTATGGGAGATTCCAAATTTTTTTCCATGCACATTTCTTCGAGATCATTAAATTCGCCAATTGAATCGGGCGTCTTTGGTTCATAATCAACTTGCTGGTCTGTAATGCAAGGGTCTTCGCTTTCTTCTTGAATTGTCGTAGGAATATTAACTGTTTTTTCCTTTGATGTAGAATTTTTTGAATCTGTACATTTTGTTACGCAATGTTGTGGTGATAAGAAATCAAAACGATTTTGGTTTATGAGTTTGTCTTCAACTTCTTCCATGTTTAGTAATGGAGACGATTTGGAAATAATTTTTGGTACCTGCAAAAATAAAGTTTAGGAATTAAATAAGTCCGCTACTGGAGTTAATAATTATTAAGAGGGTTCTATACCCATCAGCTCCGTCAATTTCATACATAACCTCAAAATCCTCGTCCCTTACGTCTTCGCCATAACCCCCTTTTAAAGAAATTGTTAGGCAGCCTGAAATACATTTCTGTGCATTTGTGGTCGCATAGTCTACCAATTATCGTATAAAAACATCTAGACGTACCATTTTCGGCCGTTGATGACTAACAAAATTAGATTTCTATATATAATCGGTTTTTATTTAATAAGTTTAACACGGTTTCTAGTTTTTTGAGCTTATTTTAATTATAATTACTTTTTATGAACACTTTATTCTATAGCCTTCACACATTCATAAATAGAAAAGCGTATAAATATATGTAGGTAAATATATTATTTGTTTTAGTTTTTATTTTGGAAATTTAAGAGATACTGTATTGAACAGTCTTCGTCCAATGATAACCTAATTATGCGGCCTCTAAACGCTCAATATATATAATCGTACAAGTTTAAGACTTGTACAACACAAAACGTGACATAATCCAACCAATCTTTTGCTGTTTTTTATTTGTACTCGACCCATAATAAAAACCACTTCTTTGTCGATTTATTAAAGTCACAGTGATTATTCCACATACTTTGATTTTCTTTTACTATACGGAGAATGGTCGCACTGCGCAGCTTTCTGAGTGCCTTTTAAAAGGAGATAGAAAACTCCGCCATTTTGAACCCTTATTACGTGTGGCCTACATCTTGGCGCCATATTTTTAATAGGTGCGTTTTAATCATCCGCTTCTGCTTCGGAATTGTCGGTTTTCTTGTTTTAATTAGACAAGTTAAAACGACTAAACCGACAATTCCGGAAGCAGAAGCGGATGATTAAAACGCACCTGATATTTTGCTTGCGGCTGTCAGTGTCAGTGAATATTATTTTTTGTCACAGATTATTGCTAAAGAATCAGTTAGCTCACTCGGACCAGTTGAAAGTTTCAAAATAAGATCCATTCCAGGGATACAAATTTAGGATACGCAGAAGACAGCTGTTTTATTATAGGCGGTTGTTATATATTGTATTATCCGAGTTGCGCAGTGTATAAACTGGAACATTGAGATCAAAAGTGCCGACGCAGAGTGAGCGATAGAAAGGATTTCACAAGTGTCAAATTATTCCTATTCATGGCACACTAATTTATCGAATAAAAAAAATCAACTTTTAATAATTTTGTCTATTGACCAAAATAATGAAAAAACTAAAAATGCGAATTTTGTCATACAATTTGGTATGTGGGGTTAGAATGATATTCGGAACAACTTTTTCAAATAACTTTTTCTAATATCTCTAACGCGAAGAAAAATATCGAAAAATGACCCTGTTTGTGGATTCGCAGTAGGCCGCGTTTAAAATTTAAACTCCAGTTGAGTATCTTAAAAAATGTGAACCATCACCCTGTATGACTGTGCAAAACTTCAAATCTGTACTAATTTAGATAGACAAAATATAGGGGTGTCTTCATCTTAAATGCGACACACTGTATATGTATGTTTTTACAAATAAACCATAACATTTTATTAAATAGAAAGTACGAGATCTACACATTAAAAGATCCCACAATGGAGGCTTCCACGAGATGTGCATGATTCCACAAATCACTAGCAGTTTTAGAAGAATTTAGTTGTCTAACGTAGTGAACCACTAAACATATTATGCCATATTAATAATGCATTAGTTCAGTGTGATGTCATTTTGGTTCCACTGACATTTAATTCTAACCAAACTTTTAACAAAAACATCAATAAATTTGACATATACGTTTTTACTGTTTTTATTTTATTTCAAAATATTTTTTACAGGTCATAAAAAATAGTTTAAAGGTATGTAATTGGCGGAACACACTAGTTCGCTCCGGCGGTCAGATTTTAATCTCCGACCCGAAAAGGTCATAGGTAAGTTCGCTCCGGCACTAAATTTATGAGGGATGATTTATTTCCAGGAAGGACCCTCACTTAAAAGTGTTTATTGGATTTAAATTTCCATCGCTATATGTATCTTAGATTGGGTTTTTTGGCTTACTTTATTACCTGGAAGGAGGCTCATTGAAAACGTAATTATTAGATTTAGGTACATTTTTCTAGGTGGGTCAAGTATGTTCTTTTATTTTTATTATTGTGAAAGTTTTAGTCGAGTCAGGCTGAAAATATTGATTGATAATTTTAAAGTAAAAACAGTTAAAAATATGAATTCTGCTAAAGTTAGTGAAATGTTGAGTGAAAAGGGAAAACCTATGTTGATAATCAACGGTTTTAGGTTTAACTTTCATAAAACGTTATCTGGAAATGTAAAACGGTGGCAATATACGCAACGAGGTGGCTGTAAATCTTTTATAAAAACTGGAGGTTCAAACACTACCATCATTGACTATTATGAGGTTCATAATCACTCAGCCGAATTAACATCAACGTTAAATCGCCAACAATTAAGTAACTCGATAAAAAGACGGGTAGTTGAAGACATGTGAAAAACCATCAACATTATTGCATACGGAATTAAAAAAGCAGGATGTCGAATCGTTAACCGTTAATGATGTGTTTTTGATTCGAAAAAATATGTATAACAGAATGAAGGTGCTCCCAAAAACATCAACTTCTCTGCAAGAAGTGCAGGAAACCTTAAATAAAATGATGATGGTGACACATAAAAACGAAAACTTTTTAGTTAAAAATGATTTTGACACTAATATAGTCATTTTTGCATGTGAAACAAATTTCAAGTTTTTGTGTAAATCAACAAGTGTGTACGTTGACGGAACATTTAAATGTTGCACGAAATTTTTTTACCAACTTTTTACCATCCACGGACTCGAAAATGAACATTATGTACCATTGATTTTTATTCTTTTACCAAATAAGGAGGAGAAATCGTACAAAAGTGCCCTTCAGTTTGTAAAAGAAGAGTGCTCTGAACTAAATTTAATATTTAACCCGTCGTTAGTTTACGCAGATTTTGAAAAAGCAATTCATAATGCAGTCCATAAGATTTTACCAGCTTCTACAATAATTAAAGGATGCCGATTTCATTTAAGACAATCTTAATACGTTTATAAACAATAAAATATTTATACAACACGCCTTATGATTATTTTCGATTAGGTGTTTCATAAGATGTTAAGTGTTAAATCAAATTCTGCGATAATTTGAGAATTTTAAATAACAGTTTAATAATTGCTGTAAAAGAGAACATAATAAAACAATTATTATAAATTTGTAAAAAAAGTAAAACATCGTAGAAGAGGATTTTATTATTTAAGCTCACCAAATTTTTTTATTTTAATTTCTTTAAATAAAATAAATGTCAAGTACGTGGAAAAACCGGAAGAGAAGCAGATACTTTCGAAAAAAAAAAGCAAACTCTGACAGTATTTTGAGTATCACAGTTACTATTTTACATTATACATTACATATACCTAAATTATATTTTAATAGGGTCTTAGGCAATATCTAAAAAATAAATAGGTACATAATATTATCCATAAAACTAGTTTCAGAAACAAGCCTATTTCATAGGTATATTGATAGTTCCATCTCGTAATAAAAACCGATTTTAAAAAAATAGTGTGAGCTTTCCAGACCGAAGCGTTACCGGTGGCCCACCCCGTTTGTTAACAATTTATGATACACAATTTTAAAACACTATTGATTTAAAGATTAGCACCTCACTTAGAATCAATATTATTTTTTTCAGGTGGCGAAAAATACCGAGTCTTGGATTGGCCTCAGAGTATTCCAAAAATTCTGATATTGGGCATTACTTAACACATATTTTTGGGCTACCATTTTTGAACCCAGAAATGGTTTGGGGTGGGTTGGGGATTGTTTCGCTATTGATTTAGCTGCAATAATGCCAAACACAGAACCTATAGTTAAATTTTCGGATTATCTGGTAGATAATTACATTGCTAACGATGCATTATTTCCTCCTTCCATGTGGGCTGAACACAGTTCCTCAATTCAGCGAACCACCAACGCATGTGAAAGTTTTCATGCAAAATTTAATGCTCTGTTTTATTCCCCACATCCAAATATTTTTCAGTTTTTAGAGATTTTAAAAAATATTCAAATAGATACTTACATAAAGATTAAAAGTTTAAGTTTACCAAAAAAAGTGTATCGGAGGGAAGCACGTTTGAAGAAAGAATTTGCAGAGAAACAAATTTCTCTGTTAAATCAAAATGACAATGCCTATACTATATTTGATTTTGTTAAAATTATGTCTCGTAGGTATAAGAGGATAGAAAAATAGTTTTTAAATAATAGTATTTTTAGGAACACTTAAATATTCGTAGGTACCCGATATATTGCATTATAATTATATTATTTTAATATGTATATATTTTAGTTTTGGTAAATAAATAATAGCTTTTTTAAATAAAACAATTTTTTTATTTTTTAATGTTCCAACACAAGAACCTACCTGTGGGCTACCTGGTAAATAAACCGGAGCGAAATAGTATAGTACCTTTAGAGCGAACTAGTATACGATTAACAAGCTCGACTGACCGCGGGCGCGAACTAGTATGCGCCCGTAATTGGTAACTAAACGATTGTATATTTGATACATGCTATCTACTTACTTTAGGATATATTTATAAAAGTGTAAAAAACGATATAATTTAGGTAAACAAAACGCACTCAAAAAATATACTGTCACTTTAATTGTCAGTGGAACCATAATTACATCATCACTGAACTAGCGCATAGATTTTGTTACTCGAGAGAAATTTTTTCATGCGATTTAGCATTTTTTTAAATAAATTTGTATTGATTTCTATTGATTTCAATTGATTTCTATTGATTTCTATTGATTTCTATTGATTTCTATTGATTTCTATTGATTTCTATTGATTTCTATTGATTTCTATTGATTTCTATTGATTTCTATTGATTTCTATTGATTTCTATTGATTTCTATTGATTTC